GACCCTCGCAGGATGTAATTAGACCCGTGCACGCAATAAACGAAAATCCTCAACTGAAAAATAACCGTTCCCGGTCGATCGTGCAATAAACCGTTTCTACAGAAAACCTAACAGATGGTCGTCGAAAATAATGGAAATTATTTTGAACGGTAAAATTGTGTTTGGTTCTTTTGTTAGAAAAGGCACTAAATTCATTTCTACTTAGACCTACATATTTCTGGGTTCTAATAGAGTGGTTCTTTTGGCGACGATTTTGGAATTTTTCATTCTTTTTTTAAATATAATTTAAGGTCGCATCAATATTTTTGTTATTACTGACCATAGTTAGCGATAAGATAAATGGGAATGGCGAACATGGACGATGTATTTCTGTGTCTGATAGACTTTTTTTGGGAATTTTTGATGCTTCTAAGGTGGTTCATTGTTGACAGTCGAGTGATCGAATCGTATCAACCGTGGCAATTATCTTGATCCGATTGGGATTAACGTGGTTAATAAGGTGTGAAACTCTATTCATCTTCCTTTATTGTTATTTCTGGTTTCTAGCAGGGTTTTGCTCGTGATTCTTCTAGAATTTTCTTCAAGGTTTGTTCATTGTTTCCATTAAATCTAAATTACAAACACGTGGGTCGTTTGAAAAGTTCACTGCCTCATCCATAGATGGCTACAATGCTTAAAATTTTATTGTTTTATCTTGAAGCGACATTCATTGAACTTGATCTGTAGCGTAGTTTGTTGAAAAAGTTACTTTAAAGGAAACTATATCGCTGCCCGCAGTGAAATGGATAACTTGGAGCACCGTGCCGTAATTAAGTTTTTCGTGAAAAAAGGTTTAACACCTATAGAAATTTTTACGGAAATGAAGAATGTGTTGGACGATAATGCGCCATCATATACGACAGTGAAAAAATGGGCAGCTGAGTTTAAACATGGTCATACCAGCTTGCAAGACAACTCGCGTAGTGGCCGTCCAAAAACTGCAACGACAGAAGAAATCATGATCAAAGTGCACAATATTGTGTTACAAGATCGTCGATTAAAAGTATCTGAAATTGCTAGAGATGTGGGCATTTCAGATGAACGAGTACATCATATCCTAACTAAAGAATTAGGCATGAAAAAGCTGTCGGCAAGATGGGTGCCGCGGTTGTTAACTGAAAGTTTAAAGCACATTCGAATGCAAGATTCCCAAGACTGTTTGGATCGTTTTAAGAAGAATACCACGGACTTTATTCGTCGATTTGTGACCACAGATGAAACTTGGATTCATCATTACACTCCAGAGTCAAAAGAACAATCAGAGCAGTGGAAACGTAGCGGTTCTCCGCCACCAAAGAAGGCAAAATCAATTTTATCCGCTGGAAAAGTTATGGCTTCAATTTTTTGGGATGCCAAAGGAATATTACTGGTTAACTACCTCCCTAGAGGTCGTACGATTACTGGACAATATTATTCTAATCTTTTAGATCAATTGGTTGAAGCAATTCGTGAAAAAAGACCAGGTTTATCAAAAAAAAGATCATTTTTCACCAGGATAATGCTCGGCCCCATACGAGCGGTTTAACTATGGCAAAAATCGCCGAATTCAAGTTTAATTTGCTTCCCCAACCTGCTTATTCTCCAGATTTAGCTCCCTCCGACTTTCACCTATTCCCAAAATTGAAAAAATTTCTTCGTGGTTGTCGATTTTCATCAGACGATGAACTTATAGCTGCAGTAAACGTCTACTTTGAAGACCTTCAAGAAAAGGACTTCCGAGATGGTATAACAGGACTAGAGCATCGCTGGATGAACTGTATCGAAGTTCAAGGAGATTATGTCGAAAAATAAAAACAATTTGAAACTTAAAATTATACGTATTTATTTTTAAGTCGCGAACTTTTCAAATTGCCCTCGTAGTCTCACAATAAGTGAACCTGCAGTCGAGTAATTGAAAACGCGTTTCTGAAATGATGGTTAATTAGGTGTGAGGTGTATATCTATATTCTAGTAGGGTTTTTTTCTCGATGGTTTTGGAGTTTTAGATACTTCAGCATTGATTCGTCATTTGAAATGGATCGAAATTACAGATACCTGAAAATTGATGCTACAGTTGAGTGATCAAATAATGTTGACTGAGTAATTATATTGTTCTGATTAGCGATGAGTCAGTTGAGATTATCGTGTGCTTAAGAAGAGAGATTAGGTGAGGTGGTTAGCGAGATGCGTTGGTTCTATTAGTGGTATAGATTTCTCCATGTTGGTCTTCAAATTTCAGGTATTTCGGTGTTCGTTCATAATTTGAAATGAAGTTAATCAGATTGTTAATTAACCTTCGGGCGGCAAATGCTGGGTCACCGATGTAAATATATCTCAACTGACATTCTTCTCTTGTATTATCAATTTGTTTGCTATTTTAATCATAATATATTTGTACAATTTCACACAATATAATGCCTAGTAAAAGTGAAAAAATGTGGCTTCGCTTGCGTACGAAAAAGATTTTAGTATTAGGTTTAGTGTTAGCAATCCCCTGATTCCTAGTCCATGCCTTTAAGCATGTCACAGGCTATTCAGTCTACTTGCAGCGTAACGCTTAGTACTATCAAAAACTCATCCGACAGGTTCCTTCTTAGTAAATTTAACAGAAATCACTCATTACTTAAGTAAATCCCATTCCATAAAATCAATTTCACTGGTTACGTTCAGCCTAGCCTCGCTTAAACTAACACACGCTAATTAAACTTGGATAGTTTTAAGTAACGCATGCTGCTTAAAACTCGTGCGGGCTAATTAACCCTAGAGCGGTCTTCGGGTCTATTTTGACCCACCGCCTTTTTATATTTCTAGTCATTTTTGCTGTTATCAAGTTTACGTTCCTTGACATTATTTTAACCGTTTATCGTCTAGGTTCGTATGTCGTGTTGGAAACAAAAATTATTACACATAAGGTCTTAGGTCCTTTTTCACCCAAAAGTCTTAAGTGTACAGTCAAAACGAAGAACGCAGTAGGGTTAAAACAAGTAAACTTGGCAATGGTAAATATGACATTGGAAACGAGGAAGATTTTAGGAATCAGCCATCCGCTGTCCGGGGGTTAATAGGACGTGAGGTGTTAATTTGCTATTAGCTGAAATAATCGAACGATAATCCAGTGGAAATTTCCTCCACTTGATCGATTTTACCAACAAGCCGACGATTTATTTCAAGCTGGACGTAATGAAAAAACCAGCAGTGAATTGAAATACGATCGGTCTGAACGTAAGTCAAGTTATCTTGGTCTGACTCAAAGTTAATCCACACCTAACTCAGCTTAAGCTAGACCTTATTTAGCCGAGTTCAGCCGCAATTTATCCTAGTCTAGACTTTCGACTTAATCCTACCCTAACTTACAATCACGGCTCCAGTCTGACCTACCTCATCTTAACTCATTCTAATCTAATTTAACGTATACTTACTGGGAGAAATGTAACAAGGTTACGAAACCAGCGGAAACACTTATCTTATTAAACCACCGCTTGAAAAATTTAGAAGAACTTTCTGAAAGAAATTGGTAAATCGGATCGACATTATGAAGTACAGTTAGACAAGTAATTCTAAACTTTCTATTGGATTTATTAAAGAATAACAACTTTATTTTTCACTCATTCCCATATAAAGAATTCTTAGGAATTTTCCTGTGCACACGATTCCAAAGAGGAACCTTAAAAGCACTTGATTTAATATTTAAAAAAAAAAAATGCATAAGAGTAACATATAAAAACAAAAAAATATATTTAAAAATTAATTCACAGCTTTTCTATACTCCATTCAACACGCGTAACCCAACCTACCCCAAATTCAACAGACCTCAACCTAGACAACCCAAACCTTCCCATCTCCATCAACAACACTCCACACCCAAGGTACACAAAAATCTAACACACACACGGTGCAATATCGCACCCCTTAGACACAATTACCATTATTCAATCCCATACTCTCGATAAAAAAAAAGAAATGTCTCCGGAAGGGTGGTAACACCCCCAGACGCAGCCTCGTAGTCATCCCGGTGCAGTCACCCGACCCATAAAAGGCGAAAAAAAAGCAGCCGGACAATTACTTTCTCCGGCGGTCGTCTTGATTTTTCGGCCACCATCCCACTCGTTCAGGATCCGGTGGCGGTATCGATGCCGATGGCAAGGTTAGAATGAACTAGCGGTGCACCTAACTGCGCGTGCGCGTCTCCCCTAGCATCTACCCCCACTCCTCGTCACGCAGCCGGCTGGTTAGGTAGACCGGTCTCGTGTCTACGAGCCGGCAGTTGCGTTTCTGTACGCGTTTGTGCGTCTCGTCGCGGCGCTGGCTGCCAGTGCGTCGCCGATTGGCGTCACGGCGCCTCTCGCCGTCGGTTGTGTGAAAGGTCGTGTGTGATCAAAACCTGCCTCGTTTTCATTCTCTACGCTCTGTCTGTCTCTCGTCTTGAAGAGAGGATCAAATACGTCGTCGTGTGTGCTCGTTATCGTACAAGTGAGTTTTGAGGTTAGGGTGATCGTGCCGCGGGCACACGTGGTGGACAACCGGAAGTGAAAGTCGACAAAAGGGGGCCCGGTATCGATCGAAAGCATCCTCCTGAGCAGAAAAAGCTGTTTCTCGAAGGTGACAGAAGGGGGGAAAAGGAGCTATCCGCGACACCAGTGACGTCACCGTTGCGTGTGAGCGATTCTGGTGAGCGAGAGGACGAGCGATGGTCTCGCGACAGCGTCGCGAGCTCGTCGATAAGAGTGACCGGGTGCTCAGGCAGAGTTCTTGGTAAGGATCACTTGTGAACGGTGGCTGATCACCCTGTGAACACACGAGAATGAGAAAACCGTGACTTTCAGTCACTTCGACGAGAGTTTCATTCGGTCTACTTTTTCCGTGTTACTTTCTCGAGCCTCCTATGGGGTGTTTGTAGTGTTTCCGTGAGCAAGCGTGTTTTCGCGTATATATCTAATATGTAGGATCGGATTAGAAGAATGATATGAGGATTATAATTGTGGTACACGTATGATAGGGAGAAAAGCAATTTTTCTAATTGGCTTCGAACAATTTCTTCTGAACTGATTCGAATTTTTTGGACTTCCCGTTTGAATAAGTACTAGTTCTGCTGTTTCTTCACAAGACAGATGCTCATCTGACGGAACGTTGTATAATTACAAGTGGCTTGATCGGTGGCTTTCAATTAGACGTTTCAAGAATTTCAACAGTTTTCATTCATGCGTCATTTCTAATTGGCTACAATTAAAAAGTAACTAACATTCTAAGGCTTCGCTATTAACCCTTTGACTGCGCACCATGTCGTGATACTAATTACTCGTACAACAAGTAACTATGTCACTACTTCGCTATTTTTTTTAAACTTAATCCGGTTAGAAATGAAATTTTCCTCAAATAAACGTACTTGAGTTAATTTCAACTGTTTTCATCGCTTAACCTTTTCCTCGGCTAAATTATATTTTTAAAATTTTTCACCTATCGAACCCGTAATGGATACTAAATTCAGATCAATTTTAATTTTCTATTCGTTGCACCGAACCCAGTAAAAATGTACTTCTGCCACGAAAGGGTTATGCAATAAAAATAGTCGACATGGTCGTGAACTCGTGTGCGTGTATTTGAGGAAAATATAATGAAAATCAATTTTTCTTCGACTACTCAAGTGGGACATGCGTGTAAATATAGTAAAAAACTGTTTATTACTTGCGTTTACAGTCTTTCACTGTCCTCGAAGGGTTAAAGCAATTCAGGAGAATCAATCTTACACCGTACTTAGAAAAAACACTGTGCAAGTATTTAAAAAGTAGAATGTCGATAAACCGAGCCACGAGATAACGTGTTCCAACCCGAAATTTCCCAACGGTAAACACAGATTTCAGTGGTTCTCTCGAGGAAGACACCTTTCGATAGGCTGGGTAGATTTATGGAAAAGGTGACGTCGCGAGTTATCGGATTCCGTAGTTAGCTTTGTCCACGATAATCTTTCCGCTGGTGACACTGTCAGCCAACTGCAACCAGCGCTGATAAGCGGTCGCTTGTTAACCGCGTGCTGTAGATGTCTTATCGAATGCCACCTCGTGGAAGGGGGGATCTTTGTGTGTAAAGGGGGCACGGTGTTTGATTGAACTGTGCGTGGATTTCGTGTCGAGTGCTCGTTGGAATGGGGCTGGAGACGTTGCACGTTGATTAGAGCGCGATTAGAACGGTGAAGGAAATTGTAGTCTATCAGGTGTATCTTCGATGAGTCTTGTTCCAGTTCGGTTTGTTTGTGCTTACATAGAAGGATTGGAAACGCTTGGGAAGTTTGATACGGGGATTGACAGTGACTGGAATTGTTAGGCTGGTGCATATGAACCACGGCTTTAGATATATACACTGTGTTCTTTCAGAAAATAATGTATTTAATCGAAATAATTTCTATACACTTTTTCTGACGATTAACACCTTGTCTTGCAACTCTTTTTCAACGATTAGGTATAGTTGGGGCCACGATATAGCGAGGTCGTAAATTAAACTCTGAAGAATCGGCACCGATTGATGTTGCGGCACTCAAGGCCGTGTGTTGCAGTCTGTTTGAGGGTTCCAACAATAAACGAATGGTAGCATATGATTTGATACTTCAAGTAGAAAATGGTATTTCATTTACAAATGGAAAATATGTTAATATTAAAGCTACACAATCCTTTTGCATTTTCTATCTGTATATAACACAAGTAGATAAACTAAGATGCTAAAGACATCAATAAGACCTTTACCTGTAACCGTACTTCCAAAAGCGGCTTCCCCCAGAGGGAGAAACCCTAATTTGTCCTAGCTGCATGCAGTTTTCAGTA